ATCAGGCTCATATTCATTGGCAGAGTTAATTGTACTATGACCTTTCAATATTCAGAACTGATTTATTTGTAGCTCCATCAGAAACTGAATTCCTTATGCCAATGAGGCAAATATTGGAAACAACGTGGATTCCCCTATAGCTTTATAGGAATGCACTTTAATTTCAACAGAGACATAGGAATCACCAGATCTACTCTTTTTGCCTCTGAGTTATCAATGAGAGGCAACTTTGAAGAACTTTGTCACTTTCAATATTTACATAATAAAGAAGACAAGACTAACAAAATGATTTTACTTTTGTTTAAGTGTTCAACAGTTTAATTTGGGCCAGTTAATCTATTTTATATAGAAGGCAACTTATTGTAGATGGAGCAGGTTAACACACTGCAATTAAAAGTGGTTTATTGCTAAACTATATAATGGATTACACGAGTTGTTAACAATCAAGACTTCTTTAGATGTTTTAATTTAATTACCTGGCCTGCTGTTTTAGAGACTTTGCTCCCCAAAATGAACATTTGGTGCAACTTTGGTCTTGGTGAAAATAATATCCAGAAAAAAATGTTCTAAATTTATTTTTATTAAATAACTTCAGAGATCATTGTTATTTTTTTCAAAACACCTAATTCATCAAATAAAATAAATATTGTTGTTGTAAACTGTGTTTTTTTTTCTTTGCAGTCATCAAATAATATTAAATACTCTGGAGTTTTGCATTTGCTCAAAGAGTCAGACCTGAAAAAATGCATGCCAGCTACATTATGGAAAACTCATAACAATCATGGTATAATTTGGAGAATTAATACACCACAATTAGTAACTATAGGGAGAGCAGCATTATGGTTAGAGAATCCACTGAACCCAAGGCTCAAGTTCCAGGGGAGACTACCATATGAAACAGTCAGGGATGCTCATTGTCGTGCTTAGGGATGTAAATTGAGGATTTTGTCCTCACTTAGGGTGTTCAGGACAAAACAATACCATTTTCAGCTGCCAAAGTAGGGTGCACTTGAAGAAATAACAATGATAAAACATTCTCAAATTCTCCATTTTTAGCCCTGATTTCTACTGCTCTCTCAAGTCACATTTACTAGGGCAGGCTCTTTTCCTAAACAGCAGCTGGTAATAGACCAATTTCAATATATTAAAATTCAGCCTAACACAATAGACCTCAGAATGAGGCTCTGGAGAATAAACCCCACAAACTCTATATTTATTCCCCAGAGCCTCGTACTGAGGTCTATTGTTTTAGCCGAATTTTAATATATCAAAATTGGTCTATTGAGCCTATTTCCTTTTAAGTGGTATCTTTAAGAATAAGAAGTTAAATAAAGCTTGTGCCACACCCAGATCGGTCCTCTTTCATTCAGATTTTGCAACAAGAATTCCGTATCTTTTCACATGGGAGCCAACCGTAGGGGTTAAGTCCGTCCAGTTTCTGTAAGCTTCCGGATGTATGACTTTGTAGCACATGTACTGCCACATAAAGTGTCCATCCACCCAGCAAATATATAAGTAAATATGTTCAGGAAAATGGCTGTACAAGTAGTGTGTCCATTTATAACAAGTGATTTGACATCACTGTCATCCCAGATCATATGCCACTTTAACTCCCGGGAGCCTTCTTGCGAATTAATTTCTCCCACCAAGTTTGTTCTCTTGATTTCTTCTGCATATCTGGTTGAGTGAAAAAACAAAATACTATCATGAAATCTGAAAACATATACATGAATGACCTTGCTGTATATGTACAGTTTTAGAGACTTGGTGTGAGTGTAGTCTCCTTCGCAGCCATTATTAGCGTCGTCACGCAATGCTTCTCTTGCAGGAGAAGTGTTGTGTGATGACTCTAATATCGGCTGCGAAGGAGACTAGTCTGAGTGATGCCTAAGATTCAAATTCAAATAACTTCTCTATTCACTGCGAGGATGAGGCAAACTCAGAATCTTTGTACTCTTTTTGGTTACTTGTTGCTTCTAACGTCTTCCAGTCCCAGGTTCAGGGTGTTTTGTCAAACATAACATGGTCGCCAGACTTTTCCCTTGGAAGTTCCAAAAATTGGGGGAAGTGTATAATTTGTCGTTTAAATACATTCAGACTTTTCTTTTCTTCCCTTGTCCGAATTTATATAATTTAAAAGTGTGTTATTTAAGGTTGTTATAGCTCAAATCTTCAAGCCAGGTGCAAGATTCTGGCACGAGCAGATGTGAAATTGAAGTTCTCCACCAGACCATGTGAGACTCACACCTAAGGCATGAAGTGAGAATTAGCATGTACAGTATGGTTAATTTTTATTTACCTGACGATAAATAAAATGAAGCTGCTTCTTTACAAGTCTGTAAGTTATCTCCAGTGAAGGCCGTTTCTTTTTTACGGGGGTACTGTAGGATAAAAAATAATTAAAGAGAAATTTTATTATTTCAATTTTTTTTTAACAACAATAACCAATTTTGATCTTTCAAGTTACCATTAAATCATTTATTTTCACACATTCTAGTGTTTACTTATATGGCTACATATTTTTAACGAGTCTTTTACAAGTCAGGAAATTCCGTACCAGACACATTAATTTTCAAAGATTCAATTACCTTGTTTCGGTAGTAATTTGAACTTATCTTTATAAGACTGTCGAGCATCTTCTCGGCCTCTTTTGGCTGAAAGAAAATTAAAAACCAAAACCTTAATAGAGGGAGCATTTGACTTCTGAACACACGAACTCTCTCTCTTACGTAAGCTGGTCATGACTAATGCAAGATGAGAGACGAAAAACGTCAACTCACGTCAATTTGAGCATTTTTTATACGTGGTACAAGGTTTCTGTTGAGGTGTTCTCCAAGATCTCTTCCTAGACGATTTTGGTCAACCGGCCATTGCTCGCAAACTTGCAAAAACCTCTTGTAAAGTTTTGGGGCGAGCGCGCTCTTTGACGCCATATTGGATTGATGAACAACTCCGCTGATACAGTGAAGCAGGCTCATAAAAGCTTGGTTGCTTAGCTGGAAGAAACCACAGTTAGTGACCGGTAGAGACCCGAAGAAAATGTAGTCGATTGTTTGTGTTTTTTTGCAGCGTTTCCCACAGTAATTTAACTTCTTATCAATGTAAAACTTTCTCCCTCATGGAGTTTGTGGAGTATATCAAATCGCCGCGCATTGAAAAGGTTTCTCTGAGGCGAAGAGGGCGTGCTTACTTGGAGGGTACATTGTGCGTGACAGGTCATCACTTGATCTTTTCTTCTCGGACAGAGCACAGGGATGAGCTGATTGTAAGTCAATGTCAAATAACAGTCACTACCGAAATTTTTAAACCTAAACTGCTTAAATTGTGTTTTAATCCCCTAGAAGTTGGAATTAATTATTGAATTGAGCTTAATATGTCCGTATGTTATTCGGACATGTAAAAGCACTTGTTTTGACTGATGACGTGTTGTAGCAGGGGGAGGGTACTGTTATACACTATAGTCTGCATTTCAGCTTGTGTTCCTGTTGCTGTTTGTTGATTCTCTTCAACTCATTTTGGAGACGAATGAGGATCGCAATGCTACTTGACAGAATTTTTATTGAATCGTATGTTTATACTGTTAGAACATGAGAAGGATTGCAGCTTTTTCAGACAGTTGCCCAGCAAACCAGAACTCTATATCCTTAGGAACTTAACCCAGAAGTGAATGCCTATTATAATATAGCTTTCATTGTCTGCCAAAATTCAATTTTTGAATTTTGCTTGTTGTTAGCATTTGACATTGTAATTTTAACCTACAATTCGTAGCTTCATGTACATTCAAGTTTTCAATTTTTTTCACTCCTGTTGTTAATTTCAGACCTCCCAACTCTCATGATTCTGCCGTGAGTCTGACAACTTTTTATCTTTTCTCACAGCGGAAAGACAAAACTCCCAGATTATCTCAATAATAGAATCTCCCGATTTTTTCATTGGTCTCCCAATTTCCCTTTATCAGGGTTGGCAGGTGTGCAAATGTGCAATTTATGGGATCTACTTGTATCTTTCCTAATATTACGCTATTCTTTATGACAATAACGTAAGCTTGGAGTGAGGAACGTTTTACTTCAGTAGTTGATACCAGGTTTGATTTTTTACCTCTACCTTTGTACATGTACAGACAAAGTGCACATGTGCTTACTAACATACTTCATTTCCTGCAGCTTTTGCACTCAGCAGTGGAGCATGTTGAGAAGAAAGCAAGAGGTCAACATGGAACACTTACCATCTGTTGTAAGAACTTTGACTTGGTGAAACTGAAGTTTAACAACATTGAAGAGGCATTGAATGTGGCATCATCTATTGAAGTACTTTCAACAATCGGTAGGTCAATATAGCTCAATTTGTTTCAGTAATGTTACTCTATTTTGACATATAATTAAAGGGCTAGTGAGAGGAGGGGGAGGAGAAGAGAAAAGAGGGGGGAAGAGAAGAAGGAAGGAAACTGGGAGGGGAGAGAAGGGAATGTAAGGAAGGAGAGATAATCTCCCAGGGAGGGGGATTCCCATATGAAAAGGAATTAAGCCCCTAAAGGAGACCAATCTGGGCGTGGTGCAAGTTTTATTTAACCTCTAAAAGATACCACTTAAAATGTAATAGGCTCGCAGCTGCTGTTCATGAAAGCAGTCATGCTAGTAGACTGCACTTGAGATCACTCAAGAGACCATTGGAAATTAGTCTAAAAATGGAAATACACGAACAAGCGTTTTTTATTATTATTTCTGCAAGTACACCCTTATAAAAGATACTTCGACAGCTAAAAATAGTGGCCCTTCCTTACGAACATGTACCCTAAGTAAGACCAGAATCCTTGAATTATGCTCCCTAAGTGAGATGAGTTTCCCTGACTTTTCATATGGGAGTTCTCCCGTGGAGATAATATGAATGAAAAAACATCCATTCAGGTTCAGGGGTTTAATTAACATTTTCAGTTACAGGTTGGCAAAATTTTTCTATCTGAAAGTAAAACTTTCCTCTAGTTGGTCAAACCAGGTGAGCAAAATCATCATCACAGCTGGTCAATATATTTGCCTGGTGCCTAGCTTACCCTTAATGAAACCCCTGGAGACTTGAATCTTGTGTCTTGGGTCTCATGTTTCATTTGAAGACAAAACAGGATGAATTACATGTTGGTCCAAATGATGATAAATAGAGGGACCAGACTGATCAGAGTGATCTGAGTGTACTGGGGATGGATTTGTTAATTCATCATTAAGTTGCATAAATCAACTGTACATGAGATCCCCTCATTATGTAGTGTCATGCTTCATTCAAGTTGACCAGGACTGAGCCAAATAAC